GAAGAAGGCACCTGTAAACAATCAATGGCGGGCGGGCGGAATCCGCAGTTTACGGGCTGTGTGATCTGCGATCTGTTCAATCTGCGCATGGACTGCTTCGTGGGCCCCACACTTGGTCTGGTCACGCGCCCTTCACGGTTTTGCCTGTGATGTGCCGGCATGTGCGGCATGTGCGGGGGAGTTCCTCCCTGCCAACTCCGAAATGCCCCCCAAAATATCAAGACATAGAAACAATGCAGCTATGAACAAGCCAGAAAGATATATTGATGTCAGATATGTTATGCAAAAGATGTCTAGAGAAGAACCCTTCGCAACGCTCCCCGGAAAAAAAGCAAAAACAAGGGTCCATGACCTGCTGCAGCCTTGGCATCCAACCAAACTCCCCCGCCACTCGCGTGGTGGGAAAGTGCCGGTGCCACCATTCGCACGAGAAAGGACTCCCGCGGCTCTCGGGCCGCGAGAAGCCGCTAAGGGAAGGTGTGATCCGGCGGTCCTTCGGTCGAACCTCTCGGATGGTACACCTCAACTGAGCCAGTTCCAAAAGGTGTCCGGGTGCCTATGTTCCACGTCTGTTTTTGGGGGAACCTGAAAACCGATCGGTGACTCCTGCCCCTTCAAACCGGACAATTCCGCGAACGTGAAAAACCGAAAAGGTCCAACAGCCAACGCGGTCTCGCCGGTCTCGCTTCGTTTCACTCGGGCCTTTGGGTCGCTCCAACATCACTTGACAATAGCCCACGGCCATGACAAAGCCTGGCCGGTCCGGCGGGTTTGGGTTTTGGAACCTGATCCGGAGGTGCATTTTCGGGAAGACAGACAGGTGAGTGAATGAAAAACCCTCCCAGCCTCCCATCATCTCCCAATGCTCCAAGGCTTTGTTTGGTTCGACCCTTTTTGGCTTAGACCAGTCCATGCTGCACTTGAGTTTCGCCCCGGCACCTCTCTGCATGTTTTATCTTAATTATCTTATCATTTTTGGCCTTAACCACTCAGATAAAGCATGGGCTGACCAATATATGATAATATCATATTTGTCCAATATGCCATAAGTAATTTCACAAATGGAAAAATCTGCAAAATAATAAGATATTATCCCAAAATCCATATGAATAAGAGAAACCAACATAGGGTATGGATTTTTGGTGTTGTCGTTCATTCTTCTTATTGTATTTTGTTTTACTAACCTATCAATAATTTTCATTAAAAGATTCCATAGAAATTTATTGATAAGAAAGACAAATGCTAAGAGACAGATACTAAAATACAATAAGAAAATACCAGAAAGAACCAACATTAAATAGAAGAGGCCTCCCCCAAGTGGGACAAGGCAGCAAGGGCGGTTCTGCTTGGGCGTCACCGGGCATCACCAAACGCCCGTTCAACTTCTGTTCGAGCATGTAAAAACTGGGTGTCATCTGAAATCCTTAGCAAAACGATGGTCGTTCAGGATTCGAACCACCAAATCAATGGCGGAGAAGTGATCAACTCGAGGTCCCCCATCATCTTCCGACTTCACCCCAAAAAACTGAGATGCAAACAGCAAGACCCATCATTCTGGTTTTGTTCACCGTCACCCCGCAGCAACTTGGAGGGGACATGGGGACATCCGGAGGGACTGCCTTCAAAGACTTGCCATGGGGGAAGCTTAAAACCGCCAGACTCACTCCCTTGCTTCCGCTGCCTGAGATGATGTAGAAGAGGCCCATGGAGCCTCCACCCATCAAATAGAGTCCGCCCGGCTTGGTGGGGACGTATCTGAGCCAGCACGTGTCGAACAGCGACCCGCAGCTTTGCGATGCCGAACAGCGATGTGCTGGGACTGTCCCCCTGAGATCGTCCAGTCTATTTGAGAACCTCGATCTTTTGGGATGGTGACGGAGTTCTACCGCGTGCCTCGAAGAGGTACTCTCCAAACGGTTCAGAGCCCAGGCACCGCTTCACCAGCACTTCTGGAAGAGACCCCACCGAGAAAACGACGACACGACGTTTTTTCCGCCGATGTGTCTATGATGTGCCTCGGTTGTCTGGTGCGTCGAGGAGACGACGAGTCGGACGAGACACATGAAGAGATGCCCCACAATGATGTGGAAGACCGCGAAGCCGCGCAGACCATCCACAGCAGCGGTATCCTCAGTTGCAGGTGTTTCTCTTTGCGCAGAAGAAGGGGTCGCCACCGATCTGGAAGATACCATGCATCCTCCGCGTCAAACCGGCTTCGAAACAAGCCGCTATGCCGGGCCCGACACCTGAACACAGGGGGACTCGAAGCAAACCCTATGTATTGGTTCGGGCCCGCAGTCTCAGGGCAGGGAGGAAATGAGTTCCAAACACCTCCGAGAAGATGAGACAAACCAGGAGACCTGGAAGACGATGGAGGCCTGGAAAGACGCTGTTCCGAATATACCAAGCCGGACGGCTTTTGTGTTTCGGCTCCGGTCTCTTCCAGGGCTCTTTCACTGAGAAAGGGTGTTTAAAAGCAAGTGATTTCAAGATCTTCCATCATGGGACTTTTGGACACGAGGAACTTCCACGTCTTTTCTCCATGTCTTCCATGCGCTAAGGTCGTCCCAAGGTCCTCGTATCTCCACACCCGGGTGGCTGCCGGATCATTTCAGACATCTGAATTCAGACCATCCGACCATCCGACCATCTGAGTGTCCTGGACGTGGACATCTCTGACCAGATAGTGACCGGAGTGGAACAAGCCTTGCAAGTATGTGTATGTATAATATATATATATTATAAATATCTTTTTGTGGCGGTTTGATGAGGTTTGGATCTTGTTCTGACCGGATCCACATGGGGCAGAAGACCGTTTTTTCCTCGGAGCTCCTGAAACCACGTGTTTCGCTTCTCTTTACCCAATGGCGATGGCTCAAGTTCGGGACGAAGAAGGGGTCAAGCTCAGGCCATTGACACAGACATTACTTCAGGCAGTTACCAGGATCTTCATGTCCAACTTCTTGAGTGTGTGGTGATGTTTTATCCACAGAAATGGACTGACTATTCATGCAAGAAATCTTCCGAAACCAACAAAGTCCTAGAAAGGCCCACATTCAAATTCATGAGGCCTTCTTGCTTTTCGCACGCGAACCCCTTCCTCTTCTCCCAAGCATCAATGGGCACCTTCCGCGTCAGCCGCCACTCCGCAGCGTCCATGGCGGTCGCAACGACGGTTTTTGGGGGAGGCTGGAGGTGGTCGGAGGGAAAGCCCAGACTGCGAGCTCAAGCAGGTGGTTGGAGGGCCAAACTCGATGGGGTGGGACCATGTGGAACTGGCATTTGGAGGGGCGAAGGCTTTTACTTCTACTCACTGCACTCTGAGGGGGTTTGGTGCTTAGCTGAGTAAACACGTGGTGCTTTCGTCCCCCAAAAAAACAACAATGCCAGCGATGATGATTACGAAGGAAACAACTGGGCTGATCTGGATGACTGGCACTGAGAGGGATGAACCGAGCTGTAAACCCCAAAGGATGGCACCAGAATGACCACCCAGAAAATCATGGACCCGAAAAGCAGTTTGCTGCACAGTCTGTTCGGTCCAAAACCCAGATGCGAACACCAACTCCTGAGCCTTTTGGGCCATATGAAGAGCCTGGGCCTTGCTGGGCCGACCACCTGAGTACCCCGACTGCTCGCTCCAGTCCAACCATTTCGCCATGGACGGCGCTGAGCGCTGAGAGAACGCTCTCCGCTGAGAGGTGCTTCTCAAGAGAGGCGATGATGAAAGGACCCGATACCTCATCCGTTTGTTGCTTCTTTTTCCTTTTTTCGGCTTTGACGTACCGCCTGCGAGCTGTTCATGGGACAGAACACTCGGGGGAAGCTTTTGGGCAGCGCTCTGAGGATCCTCGGTTGGATCCTTTGGCGACGGGCATGCATGCCGGCTGCCAGTCACCAAAACGGGGGCCATCATGGGCCACAAAACAAGGCCAAAAAAGGGCTTGGTGGTGGATGTTGGTCCATGTCCTCTACCAGAACCACAAGAGTGAGCAATACCTTGGGGAGATGTTCCATGGAAAAAGCACTCAAGAAGAGGGGTTCAAGCCTGTGATTGTGGGCACCTGTTGCCTTCAGATGCCCGAGTTTCAGCCACAGGAGCTGCATCCGGAAACTTGTTGGGGCAACGGGCCACCACACAGTCCAGCTACCAATATGTGGCCACTGGTTCCAAAGACCAAGATGACTAAAACGTCTTCTAAGCTTGAGGCTATAGAGGGCCACCTGTGACCTGCAAACTTCACCCCAACCACAGCCATCCCTGTCTGAAATCAAGCCGTCGTCAGGAACTTGAGAGTCTGTTGGAAGATGAATCCACTTCGGAAGTCCGAAAACAAGTGCTTCATCCGGAAGAAGAAACCACTAACGAGCCCAACTCCCCTCGGGGGAGTTGCTCCATCCCAACGATCTTTCTTTCCCCAACTCCTTCGACCGTCAGAAAGCATCGTAAGCATGGGAGACTTGACATATCCCGCCTAGACTTCAGTTCGACCACTAAGCGAATGCTTCACCTGGTTCCTTTAAAGTCTAAACATCCTTAGTCAAACAATGGTTCTTCAAGTCTTCAGACCATGAAATCCATGCAAGCGGAATCTTCCCCCTCCGATTCGGTGGACCGGAAAACAAGCACCGATGTCTTTGGATTTGGTCGGTCCCCAGGGGAGATTCACCGAAAAGAAAGACAAAGTTCCTAATAGCTTCTTGTTACTAGTAGTAAGGCACTTGTTACTAGTAGCGTGGCACTTGTTACTAGTAGCGATGCACTTGTTCCTAATAGCCTCTTGTGAGCAAAACCTGGATCCTAATCCAAAGCGATTCTTGAGGTTTTTCGTCTACACCGCGATGTTTGGTCCATTGATTCCTAATCTTTATCGGCGCGTCCCGGGGGCGCTTGTTCCCAGATGGCCAGACTCTTCGAGCGGAAGGCATCAGATCAAACCTGGGTGAGCCCAAATCGTGGCCCAAATCGTCCGCCGAACGGAAAGCGACGTTGACGGCACCTGGGCGTTCTCACAGAGCAGCGCCAGGCCGTGCGCCGTGACGCACAGCTCGGGCAGCGTCCAGCGCTCCGATCGCTCGGGGCTCGGCTGGGCGCCCAGGTCCTGTCCGGGAAGGCTCAGGAGGCTCGGGGAGGTCGCGAGAGTAGATGGCGCCAGTGATAGCACCATAGATCCACAGAACAAGTGCTTGGGGACTGGGGAGTTCCATCCAGAACTGCTTCTGCTTGGGATGTCCCGATTTCCGGGCAGGTCCGTTGGTTGTCCCGCCCGAAGGGAGTCATGGCAATGCTTGCGCGGACCAGCCCCCAGCCCCTTGCATTCCGGGGCAGGCACCCAAAAACAAACGAATGCCCGTGAGACAGCGGCTCAGCTTCTGACCAAAAGAATTCAGAAGGCCCTTGTGCCCACATCTGACATGGGCCTTAACTATCGTTTCTAGGCCTAAAGCAAGAAGAGTGAGAGAATGGGTGAGACATCCTAATAATCGGAGTCCGGTCGAAACTTTTACACGTGCACACGACTGAAGGCAGTATGGGTCAGGTCGCGACACGTGGCTCCTGGCTCCCTTTTCCAAGAAGGAGCAAAGTTTGACAACACTAAAATTCACTAAAAGCTCTCAACTGCGATTCCATCCCTAGTTGGCAATCCCGTCAAATTGCCATGTCTCTCCAGTCTACAACCCCCCGGGTCCACTCTAGAGTCCTCATGATCTGCGTGTCTCGGTGTGTTCAATCCGTGCATGTCGAACCACACGATGCCATGTTGTTTCTCAAACATCCATGCCGCACGGCCCGCACGGCCCGCACGGCATGGCCCGTGCGCAGAAACGCGTGGCATGTCCCACCAGCTGAACTCATCGGCCGCTCTCACCTCACCTGCTCCACCAGTTGGGCCATCAGCTGCGGCAAGCTCTTGGGACGCACCTTACAGGTCACCTGAGAGAGCCGATGAAAAAAACAGGCGCCGCACCGCTCGACACTCGGAGTCCTCGGCGGAAGGTGGTTCCGTTGGCTTCTTGAGCACCACCGGACCATCCATGTTCCACCCAGACGCTCCGTTCACAGCCCTTGAGTCCCTCCAAACCATAGGGATTTGAGGGTCCGGACCCCTCCAGAGGATTCGGGTCGCGACCCCTGCATAGGTTCGGGTCCAGGAGCGTCTGGGCAATGGCTTTTTGAGTCCACAAAAGGTCTTTTTTGGGAGGCTTGGTCGGACCAAGATGCAGCGGTCGGACCAACCCTGGCGTTGTATGGACCGTGTTCCTCGAGTTCGGAACGACCGCGGAACGGCCTGGATTCGCTGACTGGGAACGTGCACGGACTCCACCCTGCCCAAGATGGCCTCACTGAAGCAATCCTAGAGTGAAAAGACACCTTCATCAAACCAGGCGTGGGGGAGTCCAAAACCTGAGAGAGGAGCTATAGGTGGAAGTGCAAGCTTCCCCTCGAGTTTCTGGTGCCCAAAAGCATCATGGCGGGCTTAAGATCGATCCATAGCCACATCTACCTACTCCAGCCGCATCCAGTTACCGCCCCACGAGGACACAGGAAACTCCACGGAACCGTGACGGCCCAGGAGCACAGACGCTCAGCACATCAGACATCGTCTCGGGCGACAACGGCGAGCGTCTGGCAGCGCCGTCTGGCAGCGCTGGTCGTACGGTGCCGTACCGGTGTCGTACGGTGCCCGTGAATCCAAAGCACGGGAGCTCAGCGCCGGTCGTACGGGTCGAACGAACACCGTGATGCCTTGGGGTCCGTTCCTTTCAGCAGTTGCAGCATGCAACCCCACTACGATCCGAAGATTTCGCCACTTATCTGTCCACCTCCTGCTCAAGATCCGCCCTCCGAGGTGTGGTCACACCTATGTGTCCAGAGTGTCAAGAGATCTTCTCCACGGAAGGAATTCACAAAGCCTTCGTAAAGCATTCTGGAACATGTGGACAACCGCTGTCTGCCCTGTTTGACGGCAACACAAAACACGCGTCTTTGGATGGGGAAAATTCACTAAGTTTTGTGAGGAATGAACACTGAGATGTTGCACAACTTGTCGGTACAAGAATCCTTCAGACCTTCATGGGATTCTCGACAGCTCTTCGAAAGCCTGATGTTTATTAATAAGATTCGACTCTGGAAGAACTCCTGCACCACCCAGGATGTTACAAAACCCTGCAAATAGTGGGAGTTAAAAAAAATAAGCCCAAAGGTGCTCTAAAACCCCGTGTCTTTTCTTCCAACGGCAGGACTCATCATCTCCAGGTGCTTCCTCCACTTCCCAGACCCTCCCATTTCCACGCACGGCTAGCTAGCAGACAGCTGGCAGAACACACGCTCTTCACCCGCTCTCCGCCTGCGGGGACCTCCTCTTCTGACTTCAGCCACTTCTCCAGCAAGTCCTTCCAACATCCAACATCGCGCCGAATCCACTCGGAAGCTTCGCGTGCGCTTCCAACGCCCGCCCGGAAGCGTTCGGCTGCGAGAGGGAGGTCTGAGCCCTCTGTATTGGAGTGCGGCAGTTCAGCCGCTTGGCTCCGAAACGCCCCCCAAAAGCTAAAAGGATACTCGAGATCCTCAAGATCAACGGTAAGCCCACTGATTGGCTATGATGTTAGGTCGATCCATGTCAGGGGTTCCAACAATCGATTATTCCGTAGCAGCTGTAGGAAACCCTGAGGACCCTTTCGTAGCAGCTTGGGCATCGAAACTCAACTCATGACGTAGCACAAACAGCTTTTAAAAGATAGAAGAAGCAATCACATCCTTTCAAACTCTCTTGATTACATGAAGAGGTTGTTTGATCCAAATGGGAGGAGGGAACGAACTATATAATTCATGTATCATCAAGAGTCTACCACCCGTCGTCTTCTCACCCCGACCGTGCCGGTGTCGGCTGCACGGCGTCGCCTCCAGCGGCGCCGCCAGCGCATCCAGCAGCTCCACGTCCATCTGCACCTGCCGCGCGCCCGCCACCGAGATCAACAACCGCGCGCAGGTCCTGAGCGAACCGGTGGCGCGGCTGCGCGGGGAGGGTTTTGGCGGAGCACAAAAAGGGGGTTTGCACCTGGAAGGTGGTGTTTCACACAAAAAGAATTGCAGGAATTTCGAAAGTATTGATAGTAAAATAGGTAACAACTCGAGGTTCTGCGGGAGACGAATGGATTCGAGTCTAGACAGGTAGGAGTTTTGATGTGTGTCCTTCTTCAGAAATGGCCTCTTTCCATACGCTGAGGAGGTTGAAGCCAGTGGAGAAAACAGCTGGGTTTTCGCGAGGAGGCACAATCCAATCATGTGAACTTTGGGAATAATGATGGGGGTTGATGCCAGGTACCATTTACCGAACTTGGTTGTTCACCTGCCGGTCTCCCCTCTACTCATCTACCAACCAATAGTGAAAGGCCATCTATGGAACCAAACAAGCACAGGAAGTAACAAAGGCAGGAAGGGAAGGCAGGAAGGGAAGGGAGCAAGCAAGCAAGGGTTCTCCATGAGATCGTTCATGTCTTCGGCCCTGTCGAATGACCCGTCGAGCATGGACGACGCCTCATGGAGATCCCAAGAGTTTGGCATGAGCAACTGGGCCGTCACAGCGAAAATTTACCTGAACAGATGCTGGAGTCTCAGCAGATGCACAAAAGGTACTAAAACCGGACTCCACGGCAGTTAGGCGGTCAAAGGGAGTGTAAATGACTAACACGTAGCAGACACACCATCTGCAAACGCCATTCCGGGGTAAGCAGGAAAGCATGCAGTAATTACACACAGTAAATGACCGAGCATTGGATGAGTCGCAATTGACAGCTGAAAGCAAAGACCGGCAACACCCACCATACTCGAAAGGACCCGACGAGATTCACCTGTACAAAATGGTAGCATCGAAAAGACAAGCATGTCCAAAATGTGTGGCCTAAAGGCACTGTACAACAAAGAAAAAACGCAAAAGAGCGCAGGTGTGAAAAGCTGACTTAAAGTCGAGGACATCAAACGCTGATCAAACAGCACTGCACCATCTTGCGCAAAGGCAAAAGGTTCTTAAGCAGAGGCTTTTGCATCCGTCACAAGACTAGACGAAGCGGGACATGTCAAAACGAGACATCGGGACGTCTGCACTCTCTGGCCTCCGGAAGTGCCTTGACCCGCACATCAGGCACACGTGGACTGGATGGGGAATCCCAAGATGTGGCGACGGCCCAAAACCGGGCCGGTTGGCGGTTCAGCCGCAACAGCGTCACCTGCCTTGGGGTGATTTCTTCCTGCCTTGGTTCCTGTCTTCTCCCCAGAACTGCACCTTGACACCCGCAACAACGATGGGAACCGCGAACTGGACAAGACTTGGAACAGTTTGGTCAGGGGGGTGTCTGCAAGGACTGGAACTGCGTTTCCTGGCACTACATGGAAGAACATCGTCACGAAGGCGGTTTCCTGGCCGAATGCGTTGATTCCCCGGGCCTCACGGCCCCCGTGTGGTCGGCGCGACCTCTCTCGGCACCCGTGTCACCGGACCCAGCCACAATGACGCGCTTTCCGGAGCTGGGGACGTCCGAAGAATAGAGGGTCTGTAAATTAAGCCATACACAAAGCCAGAAGCTAAAGGGCATAAACTAGAAGCTACTAAGAGCAAAGGGCATCGCTACGAACGGAGCAAGGACGCTAAGAAGGGGGCTCCTGGCATCGCTACGAACGGAGCATTCCTGCTTCTAGGAGCACTCTTGTTTCACCACCAAGAAGCTCTGCCAGGTAGTGCTGAAAGCCCGGCTGTGGGTCCCACCGCATCAAGGGGCGAATGAACCTCGGCGGCTGATCCGCAGAAAGAGACCCAGGCGGTGAATAGGAGCCGCGGAGCCGGTCGAGCTGTTGGAGAGGAATAGGAACCCGGCCCCAGTCCTCCCTTTGAAGAGGAAAAATGGCCTTAAAACCTCCTGGAAGAGGGTGGGGCCGTCTGTATTCTACTTGTAGGGGAGCCTTCTAAGAGCACCGCAGCTCATATGAGCGGCGAACAAAACTTTTTGGTGTCCCCAAGGCCAAAGGTCATTTAGGCCACTATCGGTGTCCAGTGTTTTGGAATGCAGGCAACAAGCTGCTTTCAATCAATTATGATGGGGTATTATGATGGGGTTCCCTGTCCAAGCATCTGATGTGCTCGGACTTGGTCAAGACTGACGACCCAAAAGCATCATCCATGGAACACCCTCATCTGGCATGTTTCTCCTAAAATATGGCACACGGACATGTAGCTCAAGTAAGGAGACTTGCCAAAACAAAATGGCTTTGGACTCTGGACAATTCTTTCCCCTTACCAGGGTGTCGATCTGGGCATCTCCCAAATCAGATACACACTCGCACGGTTTAAAAGGAACCTGTTCCTCGGACCAATTAACGTTCTGTGGATCCAAAAGAGGCCTCCGCCTCTCACCACCAACACCCACCGGGAAGAGCGTTCCAGCCCCGAGCCACTGTTGGTTCTCCAGCACCTCTGATCGCTTGGTGGCTCGCAGCAGCCAAAGCAGGTCCGGCAAGAGCTTCTTCCGCCAGGCGCGATACGCGTTGGGGCCTTCACCTCGACGTTTCGCCCCGGTTGGGCGATGTTGGGCGAACCGGGAAGGTGGGGACGGTGGCGAACGGGCCTGGAAACCCAATCAGAATCTACATGGATGTCTCAAGAGCCCAGACCCCTTTGCAAGGGATCCATGGCAAACCAGAACTGCTTCGGGCTTGAAGTTGGGACGGGCTTTTCAGGTGGTCCACGTCCCCTTTTGGGCCACCTCTCGTGTCAAGTGGCAATGTCTCATCGCGGCACAGAAGGCGAGGATGTAGGGCAACAGCTCGTGGCGATTCAGACTGCAAATGCCTTGGCATGCCACCATCACTCCAGTGACCTCGTGATGCCCAGCGTCAGGGTTTCAGTTTTGGGGACCCCCCCCTACCGCCGCGGAAGAGCCCCTACCATCCACTAAGACCATGCAAAGCTTCAAAGCTGGGAGAGACCACTGGAGAGCTGGCATCCAGTGGTGGTCCTCTACATGGTACGTACACTCCCTGAAAGCCTCATGAGAGTGGAGTGAAAACCACCTGACTTGGCTCTTCGGATGGGCGGCCCGGCGGCGGCGGCCCTCGAACTCGGGCCACGGCCGGATTTCACGTGGCCCAGCTAGTGATTCTCAGGCTTTCGGTCCTTCACACCCCTCCTTGGCACTCCAAAGAAGCAGCCACAGAAGACCGCTCCCACGGTGTGGCGGTCTGAGAGCTTCCAGAGACCGGCGGCCTTTCGTCGCCTCAACCGGCGGCTTCCACGAGTCGGATCACCCGCGCGGTCCGAGCGGCGCTTGGCCAGGGCTTCCTGGAAGTCGAAGTTCAGGTCGCCCGTCAACAGCCGTTCATCGAAGAAGCACACCTGGGCAATCCTTGGAGCCGGCGAGGAACCGTGGTCGCGTTCCAAGTTTTTCCAGGGAGTGAAAATCACACCCAGAGAGCAACAGTCATGATCTAGTTTACCTGACTAAGACTTGGAAAGACACCCCGCTGCCATGGCATAGCGACATCACGCCTGTTCATGGCCAAAATGGTGGACGGACTCCACCCTCTCCAGCAATCGACCCAGCTCCACGGAAGTTCGGCCCGTCGTTTGCTCCAACGGAGTCAGGGCCCTCGGGAGTCTCTTGCTCTAACTCACGGACGAAGGGACGTTGACGATCGTCTCCCGTCGTCCCGATTGGCCCCAACGAATGGAGCCGGAACCGGGGGGGTCCGGCTCAGCATCCCGAAGTGGTCTGTGCAGTTCATCCATATTCACTTCGAGAATCTCTGCCAGGGTGGCTGGTGCTGCATTGGGCAAGACCTGGCGAAAGAGACGCAGGAAAAAAAAGGTACACACACACCAAAAAGTAAATGTTAAGAAGAATCTGGTTTCTGGGTAAAGTCTTTAAGTTGTCAGTGGACTGACATCCCCTCTGAGATTCCAAAAACAGGCCAGTACCAAAACAAGTTGAGCTGTGAACAGTTGACTTTGATCCCATGGTGCCCCAGTTGGGGTGTCTAAACGTACATGGAAAAACCCCTTGCGTATCATGGACACCTCCGCCCCGCTCCAAGCTGCCCTGCCTGGAAGAGCTGCGACGCCAGCGACGCCCTCAAGCGCTTCCCCGGCGGCATGCGCGTCACCTGGGCCTCGACGTAGGGCATCCGCAGCACCTGGCGACGCCCGGACGACGCCAGGACGTGGGTGTGGCAGACTGGCGCAGCATGGTACAGCATGCAACCGCACGGTATGGCTAAATAGTGCTCATGTGGCTAGTGGTTCACATCCAAACTTCCCCCACACTTAATTCATAAGAGTGTGAAACGTGGCTAGAGAGGCGCCCTCCGGTCCGATTCACATGCTATCCACGTGGTCCACACCAACCATAGACAGGCATCCACATGGTCTCATCACCAACCCTCTCACCTCTCCCGCCCACCCCACCCAACGTGCCCCCAGTGCCTAAAGGGATCCACTGCCTTCTCAAGGTTCGGTACGACTGGACCTTTTCTGGCACCAAAAGTCTGTCCAATCACCGTAAAACCTCAGGTTCAGTGTGTCACATCCTTATACGGCCGATTCCCGCCGATTCCCGCCGCCTTCCAACGGCCTTTGAAGAAGCGCTCCCGCTCCAGCGCCTGCGACCGCACGACGACGCACGGGGCACGAGGCCGCCCATGGCGGGGGCGGACTCGGGCGTGGAAGGGGGCCGTGCTGGAGCACCCAGTGGTGGTCGTTTGGAAGAGCAGGTGGTGTCCTGCCGAAGAAACCGATGGCACTCAAGCGCGTCCATGGCGAGCACTACAGCCCGACCTAGCCCGCCCCCCTGCGCACCCTCCGCGCGACGCCCGCGCGCGGGACCTCCGCGCCTCCATCTCCACTGGATCCATCGTCTTCCACCGGCGCTTGGCATCGGGCTCCGGTGCCGGCATCGCCGGCTTCACCGGGCCACCTCACGGTCGTGCGCGAAGGCGAAGGCGAAGGCGGGGAAAAGCCCTCGTGATGGGCCAAGTGGCCGATTGAGGCTGCGAAGGGAGGAGGTGAAGGGTGATGCCAAACTGTTGTCTTCCTTTCTTTAGACACAGGAGGATGATTTTGTTGCCACGCATGGAAAAAGAGAGGTGAGAAACACGGGGCTCCCTTGTATGCGAAGAGCTTCCAATTCTGTTGTATCCCTATAGGGTGTTGTACATTTGAGGTATAGTCTCAGTGTCCAATTCTTCAACCATCTCACTCACCCCACCAACAATCCTTGGACCCAACCCCATCTCTCCCCATCCCTCCCCACCTCGTGTGGGGAACCCCCGGCCGCTGCGCAAGATCAGCTGCACCGTGTGGCTCAGAGGCATCTCATTCACCAAGGACCTCACGGCCCCGCCCGGTCGAGGTCGGCGACGTGGCGCCTGAAGGTCGGAAGGGAGTCCCTCCCACCCCACCCACGGCCTAAGGGGGCGGACCAGCGGAGCGCTCGGAGGGCTTCCGAGTTGCTGTTCACCAAGCACCCCAGCACTGGCGTGATGGGAAGATTGCAGAAAGGAAGTGAGGTGAGAAAAACCACTACAATCCGGAACTCAACGCAAATGAAACATACCTTCGAGACATGCAGACCTAGCCATAACCCCAACATTGGGTTATTATGTTTTTGTGTATCTTGTTTTGTGAAATTAGATGTGAAAAAAATGTGAATATACAAAGGTAGGGCCTACCTATGGCGCCAGCGCCATAGATCCTTTACATAGCAAGTGGTTGGGACTGTGGAAAGATCCAGAAGTGAACTGTCTTTTTGCTTTGGGACGCGGTTTCTAGGTATCTGGAAATCCTCTTCAAACCTACACTACATGCACAGACTTTACTTCTCCAAGAGACTGAAACGAGACGTTCTCCTCGTCATTTTGCAAAAAGGCCCTGGGCACGGCGAGCACAGCGGTGAGCACTCAGCGTTCAGCGGTGAGCACTCAGCGTTCAGCGGTGAGCACTCTGGTTGGGATCCAATATCCCAGACACGACTAAGTGGCTAATGGGACTGGCATATTGACCTGCATTGACCCCCTTTCCAACCACTCGAACGTATGGTAAATCTGCCAGTCCCATTAGTCGTGTCTGGGTTTTCGCTGGTTTCAGAGCCGGCTTCGAAGGAGGTCAACGGTTTTGGGATTGACTACGGCGTGACTACGGTGCTTCGGTCTTTGCAAGTCACGGTGGTGACACTTTGAGAGTCACGAATCCGCTCTTAGCTCAGCTGACCCTGCGCTTGTCAAGCTGCGAGCGAGAGACGATTCGGGAAAGACTTGCCCACAGCCTCGGTGAAAAGGAAAAAGGAGTTGCTCCAGACGTGACCCTGGACGCTACGTTCGGGGCTCCTGGCCTTACTAGGAGCAAGGTCTTCTCCCCCTCCAACACCAGGACCCGGTGGTCCCGTGAACGGAGCGTCCTACGGGCCGCATCCCAATCCATCGAGTTCCACGACCCCATCCGTCACCCCGCTTCTCGCCCGATGTTCGCGCCTGAGGATGTAGGCCACCACTTGGCCATCGCGCTTGGGCAAGTCTTCAAGCTTCGAGCCCAGCTCCATGCTGAAGTATCGACACTCCAAGCGATCCACCACCCTCACCGGCCGAAAGTCCGGTTCAGACCAAACCACATGCGCTTGTTCTTCGGGCGGAAGGGTGGTTGCCATCGGTGCCCAAACTCAGTCAGAAAGCTGCAGACTGTGAAGTGGACTGTACATGTTCACCGTTCAGAAATGGGAGACGGCGATATCCGGATCAGGAGACGATGTCCCGGGCACCAACACAGCGTCAATGCACGCCGGCACGTGTGAGATTGCAAAGAATCTTGTTGCGTATCAACGACCACATGCCCAAACTGATTCTCTGTGGTTTTGTTGACTTGAAAACCGCCTGTTTGTTTCCCCAAACAGGCGGCTGCAAAACAAGCTGGAGCGCGCGCGGGAGCGGGCACATTGCGTGCGCCTCTTTTTCGATCTAAAGTGTTTTTAGTCTTTTGGGGCTGCGCACATAGTGCGCTAGATGAGAACTTTTAGGGCAGCGCGGGGCAGAGCTTAAGACTCTGCAAGCATCAGGGCTACGAAAACGAGACTCGGCTGTTGCAGGGCGCCACCAAAGAGGGAAAGGAATGCACCATTTTGCCATGTTCCGTTTGGTGTTCCCAGGCGTTGCAGGAAAGGATAGAGCATTGGCCCAAGAAGCGAACATTGGCCGGGCCACCCAAATCGGTCAGATTTCGGCTTGTGCCTGGTACTGCTTGTGCCCTGCCCCCAAAAAAATGGCCAACCATTCCCAAAGTATGCCCCAAGTTCAGGAGGATGTTCTCTTCACCCCTCCCGTCCCCTCCCCTCCCCACCCTACTGCCGAACTCACCCCTACCGGCCCCAGCCTTTCGAAAAGCTTTGTTTCAAAGTCGTCCGTCTTCACCATGCAGTGAAAGACCACGAAGGCCTCGTGATGGGAGACGACTTGACATCTCCGGCCTCGTGATGGGAGACGACCTGGTTTCATTCAAAGAATGGGAACGACCAGCGGTGGTGTAGTGTAAAAACCCTTCGCAAAACGATGGTTCTTTGATAAAGACCATTGAAACAATGGTTCTTCAAATCCTAGGGTTCAGAGTTGAACTTTGGCCCATTCCAATCTGCACCCACGTGACGAAAACTTAAACTTCCATGTGCGTAAGATCAGGCCACCGGATGATCGTCGAATTGAAGACTCGTCATTCCAGTCTTTCTTGGGGAATTCGATGAAGACCCAAGTCCTGCATGAAGGGCCCCTTTCCCTGTCTGATCAGGAGACGTTTTCACTATCTCTACACGCAGCTCTAGCAAAACGATGCCTAAATCTCCTTTCAGTCCCAATCCCCAAACCTCGCAGACTTCCTCTGACATGTTCCACGACCAAACCTCACCAGACCTGACCAGACCTGACCAAACCGACCACGCCGACCCCTGGCCGGACCGAGAAACGAAGCGAAAGCGACGCCGACGCCGACGACCCCCTCGGTCCGCCTGCTCTGCACTGAGCTCCACCTGGCTTAGGCGCTCCACCAGCTGCCGCCAGCGCGCGTCGCGCGCGTCGTGCGCTTCAGGAGTTCCCGGGTGGCTGTAGGCCACACTCACCGCCTGGGCGATTCGGGGTGTTTTTGTTGGCAGAGCCGAGAAGGTCCTTGGCAAAGAAGGAAGAAAGGTGAGGAGGAAACAAACTGGATGGAGGTTAAGCTGAAGTTTGCTGATGATTCAAGTAGGGCAAACAGGAACTCCCAAGCATTTTCATCTAGTTACCTCTTTTTCCGAAAAGCATGTGCTCGTGCTGGAGCTCAGCTCTCAGTAGCTTTCTTTGCCCTCACATCTGGCACCCACATCACCTAGAGATCACACCAACACACCATCCACCATTCCCCGCTGACCACGTCGGTCCCCGCCTCTTCCAAGATTTCTGGAACTTCAGCAGTCACCAAATCCAGCTCTTTGGATCTTTTTGGAACTGTTTGCCCCTTCTGCTCCTGGCAGCTCGGCAGCGTAGCCTGTGGAAGATATACACGAATCCCTACCGTTCGGGACTGCAGTTGCTCATGCAGTTGCTCAGACCAAGAACATTAAGTACAAAGAGGTCAAAGACCAGGGTCAGACTGGACTTGTAGGATCTTGTAGGGAATGTAGACTCAATGTAGACTCACTCTATGCGCTTCACGATCGTCGCTCGGCTCAGTTGATCGTCGCTCTGGTCGACCTGGCTGGTATGCGCCCCTGACCACTCATGTACAAACCCTCAAACATGGCACTAAAGTACACCCTACAAATCCAAGTACCTTCTCACAATGTACTTGGACCCTCCAAACCTACATAGCGGTGTCTCCAATCACCTTCTGAGAAGGTACTTGGATCCCTAGGGAATGTAGACTCGTGATCCATAAGAAACATCTGATACCGTCCCATCATGTGAACTCTTGATGAAAAAGAACCCCCCCAGACATGGATGGAAAAACCTCTTCAGGCTTGAGGGTTTGAAACATCCTCAAGAGTCGACATGATGAATGATTGGGGGGTGGCAAGGGTGGGTTGCCACCCATGTTGCCAGTCCATGTGGTTTTCGATACACAGTTCAACTTCTGGACTTTGGGAAGTTCTTCGAGGAGGGGCAAGTTCTGTGCACTGGCACCACCTGTTTCAGAGGGGCAGTATGTGACACTTCGCCACTGGCCAACCCCGTCTTCCTGGTTGGGATTTGTTAAATCGAGTTGGGCGACGCATATATCACCAGCAAGAGCAACCTGGGGGTCTCCGCCCCTATAGGCAACCATGTTGCCCCAGATCCACTCTGCCCCTCAGCACTTCGTTTCCATCACCCTGCACCTACCCACTTTCGTGTGACCGAACTTCCGAGTTGAGGATGGGGGCTGATGTGACCGAACTTCAAGACTCCAAGAGATAAGTGATCTCTTCTCTTCCGAACAGTCATGGTCATGGACACCCCAACATTTCTTGGAAAGAAAAACACCGTGCTTCGCAGGGACCGAGCTCCAGTTCTCCAGCGCCAGAGAGTCTGAGCCTCTGCGCTAAAACCGTGAGCTCCAATTCCATGCACCCCACCACGGCTCGAACGCGAGCGAGCGGGAGGAGCCACCAAGTCTCCTATCTCTTCATTCACTCGTTCGGTGAGACTCCACCTAGTCTAGGTTGACACCGGTGTTGACGCAAATCAATGGGCCAAGGAGACTTGTGATCACTCTTGGCACAAGTCACAAGAAAACCCAACACGAGGTCCAAAAGTGACCCCAAAAAATGGGGCCTACGTGCCAGGGCCATGTCTCAGAGCCAAAACCATCAAAACCATCATAAGCAGGGACCAATCTCGCACCTTTTTTTACACAAGTGTTCTCTCACCATCAATGATTTGGGGTGTGTAGCTCAAGGGAGACCGCCCAGGCGCTCCGACTCTTCGGAAGAGCCGGGGAAATAGAAGACTGGTCTACCACTGGGCCAAAGGCTCCCCACCTCGGCTCAGAAAGGACCTGGTCCTTTGAAAAGAGCGAGCTCGACCCTCGCGTTCCATGGTTTTGATCTCGAAGCAACATGGATTGCTTACGTCTCGCTTCAGGTTGTTGCTCGAGGCGCAAAAGGATTCTCCACCAAACATCCACAGAAAGCAGACTGCAGAAAGCCACCGTGGACTCGCAGTGGGTGACTTCACTTCACGAAACTGGACGCTTTCCAGAACCCAAAAGCCCTTTGCTGGGTGAAAACCTCCACCTCCACCACCCAGCGGGTCCTGCCGTGGAGGGCGCTGCGAGCGCCGGGGCGCCAGCCACGGCAGCAGCTCCTCACCTGGACAGACCCGTCTCAGCGGGCCCCGTCTCGGGACGCGGAAGGTGGTCCCGACAGCCAGGCGCTGAAAGGGGGTGAGCCCAATTTTGCGCCTCTTCAAGGGGGTCCTGACATGTCAGGTCCTGAAAGGGGGGTCCAGGGAAAATGGAGAGTGCATGATGGAGCTCCGCCATGAAATCGAGTGGTGCAGATAGAATTTCTTGAGGGCTCTTCGCAAAACTCTAGACTCTAGCCTTTTGGATCCGCAGAACACCTCGGATCATCCGAAGTCACCCGAGCGACTGGGCCGGGCATGTCCAAAGCTACTCATCTCAAAGCCACGCTCAGCCGACGGCGAGCGAGACGTGTTGCGAGTGGCGAGTCGGTGAAGGCGGTGTTACACGGGAAGGCGGGGTGAAGCACCAGCCTTCCATCGCGCCACGGTGGTCTCTGCTAGACCTATATAGAGATCTAAAGACCACTAAGGACCTAACAATGGGAAGTTCATGGTGAAAAAACGCTGGGGAACCTTGGAGGTTTTGAGAAGAAGGAAGCACGCGCAGACAACATCAGACAACTCTTGGCACGATTGGACGACCCTAGGCCCTAGACTCACCTCAATCACCCCAAATGGTCGAATCAATTCGATCTCATGCACACCCAGATCAACCCAGTCAAGTCGGTCGTGTTGTTCCTTGATCCCTCCCCACCCCCAAAAAAAGTACCTCCTTTCAACCCTAGGGTCAGACTTTTTCCATTCCAACCCTCCATTCTTGGGTTCGCTACCCGGCTTGAACCGGTGGTGCCTCCTTTCAATCACACCCCCTGGGCCGCCTTCGACCCGGTACCGGAACACCGGAAGCACCGGAAGCACCGGAACACTGGACACCGAACACCGGTGGGTTCCTTTCGGGAGAAAGCCAACCGGACGCTCCTATAGGGGCGCCGGGACAAGACCTGGGATCCACAAGGACCTCCCAGGGTCCAGACCAGGTGAGGAGAAGATCACCCCGGCGCCCGCACCGCGCCGGACACCGCGGAGGGGTCCCCACCGGTGGTCACCGCATCCACGGACGCGGTGACGGCGTCGGAGGCGAAAGCGCGGCACACCTCAGGTGATCTCATCCTACATGGTACGGAAGGGACCTGTTTTTTGGACTGGATTCGGAACACCAACTGTCACTCCATCTTCGGTTTTCAGGAGTGACAGTTGAGTAATTAGGTCAGACTGGAGGCTGAGATGGGTGAACCCCTGCCTCACAAGACCCCGTTGGGTGGATGGAAATCACCATTTTCCACATGAGTGTGACTGGTGGAAAGATCGGGTCGGGGTAAACCACCTGGGGAATATCAGATGTGCGGCGTATCTAAGGGATCCAAAAGCTAAAAGCTGGGCAGGATGAAAACCATCTCGAATGGACCTAGATCTTCTCACTATGCCAACATGTCTGCCCAACATGTCTGCCGAACTTGGCTGGTCTTTACGGATGAAAAGGCAGACAATGTTGCATATGCTTGCAAAGAGAAAGAACCGATCGCTTGGTCAGGGCGTTTCGGGGCGACCTACGAATTTGGGAAGCTCTGCAGACCCTGGCCAGTGGTCAGTGGAGCGTGCTCACTAACATCGCTTCACATCCAAAACCATTGCCCCATCCGTGTCTCAGACGTCGCACCCATGGACACCGGCTGCCCGGAGCCGCTGACTTTGCCCTCCCAGGCACACCGCGGCTCCGCGCGGCCGCGGCCGCGGCCGTGGCGACCCCGCGCCGGGCGGCCAGGCGGAACGCCATGAGCGGGTGGTGCGGAGCTGCTGAGGAGGTGGGGAGGTCGGGTTCAGATGGTGTGGAGTACGGCATCGCGGCCCCAAAAAGAAACGTGCGACCCTGGTGAAGTTGGTGAGGCTTTTGCGGGCTTTGGAGTAGCTGAGTAGAGGAAGATGGCCTTTTGGCCTGAAGACTAGAAACGTGTGTGGGTCTAGATATAAAAAATACTGCCAAAGCTATCGAAAAGGAGCCAGAGCTTTACGAATGAAGATGGCGAGTGGATCCATGAACATCGTTGCAAGGGTTGGGCCGAGATCCCCGAGTTTGCGTTCGTGTGTGTGTGTGGCGATCTGCTGACCACTTCAAGTTCAATCAAACGGTCGTGCTAACCCTCTCATTCGTGCTAACCCTCGCATCTGGATACAGCTCGGCACATCTCCGTTCCACTTGAGCAGCTTCGGGGACGGACGGCGTGACTCTGGATCAAATGAACGGATTAAGGTCAACCTAACGTTGGTTTGGTGTAGGTTTTGACTCACAGCCAGGTTTGGAGAAATGGACAGCACTGGAAGGCTTGAAGCGAACCAGGAGCCTAACCCCCAAGTGTTTCCATGGTTCATTGGGAGGAACCACCAAGTAGAAACAGCCCGAGAAGCGGTACCAGTGCCGGTGTCTATCCACTTCGGTGTTTTCCATCCACTTCGGTGTGCGAGAGCGTGTCCTCTCTCCCAAAAAGGGCCGCCTGGAGAACCAGAAGTCCTTTCGATGTTCCTGGAAGTCCATCCGAAGCTCGGGATAGCGGGACGGTGATCTGAAGGGTGATCTGAAGGGTGAGGGTCTGGGTCGGTCGTTGGCATTCGCATCGTCAGACCAACCCAGACGGGGTTGCCAGACAGACCATGGTATACCATGGTGAACACCGACGTCGGCGGCACCGGGAGCCACCGAAGGAGTCGCAGGTCGCTCGCTCGCGGAGGCGCTCGGGGTGCCGGAAGGAGGAAGGAGGAAGGAGTGCCCGGAGTGCCCCGGAGCATCAGATCCACTGCACATCCACCCAAGTCCATGTGACTCCAGGTGTGTTTCATCTCTCTCATTTAAGTACAGGAACCTGTGACAGCTTGGCCACATGGATTCCCTACTCCAAACACCAAAGGACTTCACCGAGGTCTCAGAACCGGGCGCTTGTGAACCCGGGCGGGTCGCTTTTTCATTGACGCATCCCTATTCGTCTGGGCCTATCTTCATTCATTTGGATCCGTTTTGACGTGTCTTTGCATCGCGTGTTCAACCTATCCGAGTCAAGGGAAGGACCAGGTGCCCTGACAAGTGCCCCCCACCACCTCAGTGGTTTGACGCCGTGCCCACGTGCCTGTGTGGGACCTCACCGCAGCGATGGCTATGTCAATCGGTGTGTGGCATGAAAAACAATACCACCCTGCTTATGGACAAGAATTGTAATTACATAGGGTGTGATGTGCACAACTAAACACTCAGAAACCATTGGAAACATTATCTTAAAGTGTGCTAGTTACTAGGTAGTTTCAAAAGAGAATGGGTCCCTGCGTTGTTGCATTTGTGGGCGGTGAATTTGCACATGTGTGGGCACATGTGTTTGCTTAAATCTGCGAAGCGGAAAGTGGAGATTCAACAGCTTCACCAAACAACCTGAAATGGTTTTGTTCTGGGTCGTTTCACTGTTGTTGCTATCGCGTCCAAAAGAAGTGAAACGACCAGATAGACCTGATAGATGAGACCTAGCCATCGACGACAAGGCCATCGCCGTAGTCTGGACCACTCCAATCGTCTGCCACTGGGGCGCCCAGCACAGGAGCCATATTTTTCTCCTGGCGGGAGAACAGATTCCAAAACTGAGGAACGATCAGGGGAGCGATGACCTCCGGTGCTTTAGATTCAAGTGTTTTTTGCAGGACACAAAACTCTGGCAGACGCAGAAACACCAGGACCCGCGGTGGCTGGGCAAAATGTATCGCCACCGTTTCTTTCGCCAAAAGGTTTGGTGCCAATGTGTTTCTTCTGGAAAACTTGGAGGTGCCCAGAAAACAAAACCAACAAGGCCGAGAATTCTCCAAAAGGTGCTCACGACACCCTGAATCCAAAATTGGCAAATCTTATCAAATCTTCGGTCGGTCTGTGGCATGTGACTAGTTAGATGAGACCGCCTGAGGTAATGCAAACGACTTTTAACCTGGCTTGAATATACAACCATGTGAAGCACAGTAAAACTCAATGTTTTCCTCCAACCATCAAAACCAAACAAATCTCCTGCCATCATTGGCTTATGATATCGGCTGAGGTGGAATCGGTTCAAAATCTGACCGTCCAGCTGCAAAATGTTGAAAACATGTCATTTCAAGCGACATGAGGGTGTCCACCGGCTGGCAGTCGGCCCAACCACCATATTGACACTGGATCTGTTGAAAGGAAATCAACTTGAAACCCCACCCTCATCACCCGGCTCAACAGGTGCCGCTATCACTTTCGGCCGCAAAAGTAGAAACAATCCCTGAAAAGCAGCGCCTGTGGTCCCACGGACCCCTAGTCCGGGAGCCATCCCTGAGAGCCAAAACACCCACGTGACTTAAGGTGTGAATTTTGGGTCATCTAGGTCCATCATGAAGTCATCTTCTCTTTCCTGAGAACTGTGAATTCTTTTAAGACCCTTGAGAAGCAGTCAGCTGTTGCGGCATTGCTAAACAGGCGCACTCTCAGCTCTTACCTAATCCTACCCTTCCTGCTTTTGGAAAAGACGTCTACAGCATCATTCAGAGAGTGCTAATGTTGCACAGGAACCTGTTTGCCAAGCATTCTGTAAAAGTGAATTCTAAAAGAATACCAAACACCAAAAATTTGAAACATGGCCTCGTCATAAATAAAGTACAAAAAACAAATAAAACACATGTGCACACATATGCTCTCAGGCTACTCAGGGGTTCACAAAACTACTGTACGTATTTGAGATATAGTTTTCTTAGGTTCTTGAAAAAGTATCCAGTTTGGTAACTTCCCCCTGCACAGCCACTTGAGGTTGAGAACTGAGTGCCCAAGTAAATAGGCTAAGAACAATCTCACGAATGGATTGCTTGGAGCTGACTGCTGAATGTTACTTTTGGGGTTTCAAAGCAGCAGAGTTCGGAGGGGCACCACCTCACGCAATGACAGCCACAAAATTGGATCGCTGCATTGCAACGATTCTTTGGCTGCAGGTCCACTGACAATGTCGGCCTTTCCTTTGCTGTTGCCTGTCCTGCTACGGTTGGGATACAGCGCTTTCAGATCGACTTTCATATTGGCTCACAGGACGAGAAAGGTGAGAAAAGTGAGTTTCACCACATAAGGGGTGTAACATCACAAAACAGAAACCTCGTCAGCCTCTTCTGAACAAGACCCCAGACCGCAAAAGGTGGAAACAACATGTAAGAACGATCAAAGAAAGGTCAAAGGGCCCCATACCGCATGAAGAGGTCACCTAGCGTGAGAATTGAAACCAGAAAGGCTATTCCTCTAGTCTAGGATGGAGTGGAAGGGGTTGTCACGACAGGGCTGGCTGGGCTCTGATCATTCAGTCAACATGCAACTTAGCTAATGTCAAAGTCGTCAGAGTTCGGATGCACACTGGCGAGAAGGTAGGCGGTAAAAAGGAGACCATTAAGGTCTGCATGCAGCGTAGCCAGTGGGAGCACCATGCGCCGTTGGACGGGTCCAGGCATCTGAGGCAGGAGGTGTTCTACATCCCGTAGCGATGCAATCATGGCTTGGACTCTGTTAAAGAGAGCCGTGTCGACACGGTAGTGCTCTCTGGCAGTGAAGCGTTGTCCCGAAGCTTCCCCAAGGTCCTGCGTGGGGTCACCATCTCGTTGGGCCCAGCATCCCATCTGTCGGGGGGAGACTCCCTGCGGACGCGCCCAGGACCACGTGGTCGGTGGGTGACCAATTGGTGTCCGTGACAAGGCCGCTACCCTGGTTTCAAAAAGTTCCAAAAGCTGTCGCTCGTGGTAGAGAATGTGACGAACCAAGCGCCAGCGGTACCCCTTGTTTGAGCCATAGACGCTAATGCCTCTGTCGTTGACTGCAAGGCAGTATGGTACACAGACATTAATCGTGCGTTCTTGGTACCGCACACAATCATTTTGGCAAGCGCCGGAGGAAAGTCGAAATTGTCCATCCACCCAGCGACAACTGCCGCGCATTTTGGGTAGTTTTCTGCAAGCGCGAAGCAGTGTAGAAGGTACACACTTGTGCGACGCCCTTCATGTTGGAAACTGGCTTGGATATCCAGAACCCCATAATCGATATCACTGTGTCCAGTTTCAAAACGGACATACGGGGTAACATCAACGAAACAGTCGATATCAAGGGATACCGGCTCTGGCGTGTTTCCAACAGCCCACGGCGGCACTGGAGGCATCATTGTCTCAAGGACGGCAGGGCAACTACAGAGTCCTATTGAAGGTGCCTGAGCCACTTGCGGCAGCGCTGGTGTAGGATAGATGTTGCGCTTCATTTGGTGTCCACAGCAACAAGCAGTTTACCTTGTTTTCCCTAATTCAACCGATTCAGCCGATTTCGCGTGACCTTGGGTGGCGTTGCACCAAAGGGAGATGTCAGCGGGGATTGAGCCTTTGGTTGCTGAAAGAGCAGTCTGGCCCTACTGGACCGGACACTTCTTTGGGTGTGCAAAGGGCCGAGGCGGAGGGTGGTGTTCATCTGCAGATTCGTCTTGGTGCCTGCCCTCCTTCCCTTCCGATCTCAGCTCCTGCGGCTGGGCTGTCACCGGCTTAGCCTTGGCCGGGGAGAAAAGTGATCCCTTGTCTTGTTCGGGGGGCGGACTGAGCTTAACTTCTTTATCCGGTCGCTTCCTGACAGGAACACTTGCCTTGGGCTGACTTGGGGGGTACCTTACGATACCTTGGCACGGCTTGGTCAGACAAGGCCCATAGCAGTTGCGCCTGTTCTTCTAACTGGGCATCACTCGCTGTCCACTCCCCTTGCCAGTCTCTCGGGGCCACCGGGCAGGGTTCCCATGTTTGCCGGAAGTCCTGCTCCCCTTGGCTATACGAGGGTTGCCGGTCAGA